AGATCAACTTCGACAAGAGTGATGTTATGGTGATGGGATACTCCCTCGCGGAGTCTTTGGCCATTGCCAACAGACTTAATTGCCTCCTGTGCTCCTTCCCCACAACCTACCTGGGCACGCCCATTAGTGACTCCAGGCTCACCATCACGGACCTGCGGCCCTCCGTGGCCAAGCTCCAAACGCGCGTCGAGCCCTGGCAGGGGAGGTGGTTGTCTAAGGCAACCCGTACCATTCTCATCAACTCTTCCCTCTCTAGTCTCCTCTTGTTTCTCATGAGCTTCTACAGTCTCCACAAGACCCTGCACCATGAGATCGCCAAGGTCCAGTCCCGCTTCTACTGGGCGGGCGACAACGACAAGCAGAAGTATCATATGGTCAGCTGGACGGACATTTGCAAGCCCCAGGAGCAGGGTGGCCTAGGCATTATGTGCTCTAAACGGATGAATATCGCCCTTCTCTCCCGCTGGCTTTGGCGCATCTCGCAAGGGCATGGTGGCCTATGGCTTGACATCATTCGAAACAAATACTTGCGCGGTCAGCCCCTCGCCTTCTGCCAGAAGTCTGGCGGATCTCACTTCTGGCAATCGATTGTCCAGCTTCTCCCGGTCCTTCGCATCGGGACCTCCATCTCGGTCGGCTCCGGGGCGGCGACGCTGTTCTGGTTTGATCGCTGGGCCGGGGACACCCCCTTTGCGGCTCGCTTCCCTGGCCTCTTCTCCATCTTCGTGGACCCCGTGATATCTGTAGAAAGGGCCCTTCTTGACCTAGGGCGCCTTGCTTTCCGGCGGGCCTTTGGCCCCTTGGAATCCGCCGCCTGGCGTGTGTTGCTTGACTGTGTTGCTCTCCATGAACCGGTTGTGGACGGTGGCCCTGACCTCGTGCGCTGGCGACTCGACCCTTCAGGCCAATTTTCCACCAAGTCGCTTTACCTGGCCATCGCCCCCTCCTCCGCCCCCTCCCCCTATTGACGGTGTGGTCCATCCGCCTGCCCCTGAAGATCTGTATCTTCATGTGGCAATGGATTCACGGTCAGGTCCCGTCCGGGGTGGAGGTGCGTAAGCGAAATGGCCCGGGTACTGGCATTTTCCCACTTTGTGGGGTCCCCGAAGACTTGAACCACATCTTCTTCGCCTGCGTGTCCGCTCAGTTCCTCTGGAGCTGCTTTCACGAAGCGGTCGATGGAAATTGGTGCCACACCAACTTCCCGGACTTATTTGCCGAACTCCAGATGTCCCCCTTGTCTTCTCGCCACATTAGGTGGCTTGAGATTGGGGTCCTCGCCTGGACCCTCTGGATGATGCGCAATAAGCTTGTGATTCAACGCACTCCTCTTCGACGGGCTACTGACGCGATCTTCAAACTTTTGGGTTTCTTGCAGCTTTGGTGGCCGCTTAGCCGTCCTCCCGACCGCGACGCCATCTCCGCCTTCATCGCCGACCTCCGTTCGATGGCTGTCCGTCTGTCGCCACCGCCCCCGCCGCCGGAACCAGACTAGTCGCTCCTTCCTTCCGGCTTTTTCTGGTTTTTTATTTCTGGGCTTGTTGAGCTGTGCCCTCAGCAGAACCTTTGTACCTTGTTGTGAGACTTGGGTGTGTGTGTGTGGACTTGACTCTGTATGTGTGCTCTATGGCGGTTTGCTTTATCTATAAAGCGGGGCGAAAGCCTTTTTTGGTAAATCTGTTTTTTTAAGCAATTTTGTACTCCCTCCGTCCCATAATATAAGAGCGTTTTTTACACTAGTGTAGTGTCAAAAACGCTCTTATATTATGGAATGGAGGGAGTATGTTTGAAGGACTCTCGGATTCTTATAAAAAAAAGAGGTAATTCGCCCATTTTAAAATATAAGATGTTTTGGTATGTCTATGTTGATGTATAAATGTATTGTCTACTCTCTTTCATTAGATCGGTCTTTTGGTTGTGTTGACTAGTGCATGCACTTCTACATGGTATCGGGGCCAAGAGGTCTAGTCTCTTCCATCAGATCGGTCTCTTGGTTGCACTAGCTAGAGCATGCACTTCTACAGCCTACAAAACATCTTACATTTTGAAACTTAGTAGTAACTTACGTACTGCTTTGTGTACAAAGTCTTCCAAAATTTTGTGAAGCTAAACGTGGATGTCTCGTTTCATGAAAATGGCTTGGGTGCAGCAGGGGTGATTCTGAGATATGATCATGGTGCTTGTTTAGGTGCTATTGCCTGGCGCCTTAATAACATTAGGAATGTTCCTACGGCTAAAGCTTTAGCAATGCAAAAATATTTGGAACTTGCTCATAGTGTGGGTTGCTGCAGGGTAAATGCTGAATCTGATTCTTCTGTTATGATAGATGATAAGTGCAATTTAAAATACTACTGAGCTGTTGGAGTCCTTGTACAACTATTCTGGCTCACTCTTTTCAGATTGCTGGTCAAATAGCGAAAATACAAAGGTTAACATGGTTCCATGTACACCGCATGAATAGTAAATTCAAAAAAATAGAGAAATTCAAACAAATTCTGCAATTTTGGGTATCAAACTTGGTCGACCATTGTACTCATGTATGATGTTTGGTGACCAAATGACAACCGTGGTATTCTTAGTGAAGAAATACAATCCAGGCCTTACTATTCGTCAAGCAATATTTTTTTAATATAGTTTCATTTTTTTTCATTTTTTGTTGGGACAATGATCTCCTAGATTTGTGTTATCAAATCTTTGTAATGATAGGCATGTTGTTTGGTGATTTTTAAAGCGTGCTGAGTGGCATCTACAAAAAAGACGGTAAATTAAAATTATGCAAACTTAATTGAGTAACTATTTGTGGGTGCTCGGGTGGAAATCAAGATATTGTTGTTGCCAAGTTTCCAGTCTAGACCCTGGCCTATTCAGAAGCATTGGGAGTGGATACTCCTCCCTTGATTTGTGCGCCTGACTGAGTACAAATATAGAAAAATGAAGGGACTTGCAAACTTCTGCTCCAAATAGTGAACTTACCTCCGTAAGAACGATTGACAACTCCTCGCTCTCTTCACTATCCATGTGATCACTAAGGTCGATATCATGTCTCACATCTTCGGCCATAATACCATTCCACACAAAATACTTGTCATTGAACTGCATGTCTATTAGTGCATCCTCCCTTAAGTTCCCTCTTACGGTAAGTACTTGAGTGGACCGTGGTGGCACGATTCCATAAGATGTGGTGTACAACGCCACGTTTCTTTCCAGGAAATATGTATTGAAACCGACATAGCAATCTGTAATGTTAACTATCTTAACTGAGGAGAGCACTGTCTTGTTTGACAACAAGGGGAAGCAGAGTTCTGGGGGATCAAACCGGATCAGGCCGTTTGAGAAAGATGAACTTATCTGAAAAATAAGAATGTAGACATGGATTAATCGGGCTAGTGGGAAGTTGCAACTACTCCCTCCGTTCCTAAATATAAGTCTTTTAAGAGATTCCACTATAGACTACTCCCTCCACCCGAGAAAGCTTGTCCCAAGCTTGTCTCTCAAATGGATGTATCTAGCACTAACTTGGTGCTAGATACATCCATTTGAGGGACAAGCTTTTTCGGACGGAGGGAGTACATATGGAGCAAAATGAATGAACTTATACTCTAAAAAGCGTCTATATACATCCGAATGTAGCCTCTATAGTGGAATCTCTAAAAAGACATATTTAAGAATGGAGGGAGTAGATAACAATAGAGTTTGATACTTAACTACTACGGAAATTACAGCTTCCAAGTTTACTATAGTACAGTACTATTTTAAGAGCTCCGCACCATTATTTCGTTCATATGCCTCTCTAGTGAACTACTCCAAGCTTGGAAAACGATCTTATATTGTGGGACGGAGGGAGTACTACTTTTTCATGATAGTACGATGCACTCTAGCCTTTTCAAAATTATGGAAGTATAGTGCATTCTTGGTTCTCAATGTCCTTTCGCCATCATTGAAATTCTATGCCATGATTATCTTTTTTTTTCTGCACTATTCCACGTATCAAATCTTTTTGAGTGGGCAGCGAGTCCATCTTATTCTCAATGCACTTTTGCACAAGAGTCTTATTTAAAGGGACATTGTGAAGACTCCATATTTTGTTTAAAAATTCTAAAATACACTCTATTGTAAAAAGGAGGGAGTGCTTCCGTTGTTATTTATTACTGTAGAAAAGAGTACGCACCATTAACCAAATGTAACAAGTAATCCCACTTTTTCTACACGCGCTTAGGTTGAAGCGCTAATTGTTAAAACATCATACTTTTAACACAAGACCAGTAAAAATCATCATCGACCAAAGCGGGACTCTCACCTTAGAACAACAGTTCAATATTTATTTCTTGAAAATCAATGATCAGACTAATTGATAATGCATACCATTTGGATTTTTGTGCTCAAATGCAAACATTGTTTTATTCTTAACAGTGACGTAAATGACAGAATTGTTAATAATGCAAGAGAAAGAAATGAATATTATCCAAACCAAACAACATAATGAGGAGTATATTATTTATTATGTAAAAAGGAATTCGACATCTATGATATACGTACACAACTTTTAGTCCAAGTAAGTTCTCAGAATTTTCTGCTATTATGTTTCCACTTACCACCACCTCCACTTTTAGGATGAATAGTAATGTGACAGGAAATTAGCTTATAAAGTGCATTATGTACACATATATACATAAAAAATAATACCATTGCAACCAAGGATTAGCACTCAGTGGCATTATATATTAAAAAACCTGAGTGTGCATCCACCTTAGCCAAACTTATTACAAGCAAAGACAAGTTAGCAATTTCCTTTATTAAAGAGTGAGCGAGCACTTTTCCGGTGTAGAACACTAGAACTTTGGGCTAGCAGATTTTGTACGACTCTAGAGTTTCAATAGCTTATCAACAGAACTATAGAATGCAGCTTACAAGGCAAACACGATTATGATGTTCACCAGGAAACCAAAGTGGCAAATATTTGGACTGCTCAATTATAAATTATATTTAAAATTGCAAAAAACTCATAGTGACATAGTCAAATGAAGGAAATTACAATTATGATTATACTGTTCTCGTAGCCAGAATACCAAAATGGTTGGATGCTTGGGATTGTTTTTTGTCGATGTTATAGTTATATCCCAGCATAATTGTCGACTGGATCTAAATACTTCGAAAAATATAGCTTCTGTTATGGAAGGTAGGTAATTCTTTGAAAGTTTAATTACCGTCGATTCAGTCTCTGCTGATGGCACATTGGATTTCTCTGTACTGTTCAGATTTTTTGTACCTGAAATTGTTAGCGACTCGAGCAGAAGATCCACATGGGGCTCGAAAGGCTCATCATGTACAACCGTGAGAGTCACCTCATCAACCACTTTACCCTCCTCCAAATTGAACATATCTTCAGTTATATCCTCAGATGTAAGACACTCGCTGACTTTGGTGCTTCGGATGATGAAATTGTCAGAGTACTGCTTACCTTCTGGTACCTTGTCTAGTGGTTGCAATGTTATGTTGACACTACACTTGGATTGTGGTGGCACAATGACTTTGTTTGCCTTTATGCAGTATGGCAGGGGGCTCATCGTTTCTATGTTGAAGGCAATATAAGAATTTGTCCCGTTGGTTACCTCAAGTGTGCATGATATCTCCTTGTTAAGCACAAATGGAAAACGTAGCTCGAGTGGCTTCACCCCAAGCATGTCATCCTCCCAGTATGGGCTTATCTGCAAGAATAAAGCAATATGCATTATCATAGATATCCTAATTTCTATTTTCATTAAGATAGAAGCTTCTAGATTTTAAGGAGTTGCCAAAGGATAACAAATGCTTTTTTCCTTTTGATTTACCGTTTTAATTAACATGTATGAAAACTAAACATTGGTTTGTGCCAATATATAGGCGCATGCTCTGGCCTGTATAATGCCACTTGCTCTTAAAAGAGCGGGAATAATTCAGCAATATTATCAATGTAAGAGTCCTCTCTTGCAAATGCAGGATCCTCTTTCTTACGTTTTTCGCTTGTGCTTATCTACATGTAAGACAGCACGAGCACGGAAGGCAAGTCTTTCTACAGTTGTATATTTTTTGTATTTTTCATATTAGCTATTTGTATAAGGGATTGCATTTTTACTTTCTAGTGGGCCAGACAGGAAGATATAGCTTCCCATAGCAGATGGCCCAGCCTTTAATGTGAAACTAACGGTTATTTGAACTTTTGCACATTCCTTTTCTTTCATGATGCTTGAAATTTCAAACATATCTCATAGTTTGATGCAAATAATTAACGGAAATGTTATCTGGTTGGCGTTCCCTGGGAGGGGGATGGCAAACGAACGCATTTTGCTGGCAATTTTAGTTGCGACGCGAGATCGAACGGTGGCAGTTTTTAGAAGAAAATACCTTCCTCTCAAGAAACTGCCATGCCATTCTCAAGAAATTGTCATCCCTCGCAACTAAAACTGCCAGCGAAATCATTCGGAAATGCCACCACTCCTGGCGAACGTTCGCCAGCTAACGCAGTCCATAATTAAGGGACTAGCAAATTTTTGTTTCTGTCTTTTGTTGAATCTTTTTCATGGCTCGATAGAGAATTTGATAAGCCAATGGTTTTTTTCCATCTTTCATAATACGGTTAACCACCATGTTAACTAATCGATTACGAAAAATTGGATCGGATTTTGCAGTTCTTTTTTCTGCAGTATATGCACAACAATAAGGACAAATACATGCACAATGAATAGCGCTAACTAAAATTGCGAAGAAGTCAACGCTAGTGTACAATAATGAGAAGCAATTATGTTATTGGAAAAATTATTACATTATGCAGATGGAAAATTATCACATTCCAACTGTTGGAAACCATATTTTGGTACTGCTTCCTTCGTTCCTGAAACTAAGATGTTCTGACAGTTTAAATTGAATTGAACTGCCAAAATGTTTTGTATTTTAAAACCGAGGTGGTACTTAACATCATCACTAGCAATAAACAGTTTGACGCCCAGCACATAGCCTAGGCGAGGACTTCTAGATACATGCTTGATAATGTGGACATCAAAAGACTTGGTAAGTGGACCGCTGGGATTTACACCAGGATCTAGTCTCTTATTCAATTTTTAGTGTCATCTAAAGAACAAGTGGGGAAGCAATCTAGTAGTACTAGTCTAAAGCCGAATGGGTCTTTCGAAGTTATGGGGGAGCACATAAGCTTACCTTCCCTGCTCTAGATTCGTTCGTGTTACTGATTTCCCTATCCGTGCTTTCCAGTTCTTTAATATCACGGATTATCTCTGATATAAAAGGCCTCTTATAGGGGTCATCTTCCTGGCAGCGTAATCCTATCTCAACCAATTTAGCTATTTGTTGGTATCTGAATGGTGTTCCATTCGCTGATTTACCCCATCTGTGCCTCCATCTTCTAAGTACCTGCCATTTGACAATGCAAATTTAAAATAATGATGAAATATTTAGTGCAACTTGTATATGTGTATATACATAGGGCAACAACGTCAGCTCAGATCTAAAATCGATACATCTCTTTTCAAATGTAGCACCCTGAAATATTCGATATGCCATCCACTACTTTGGTATGAAAACTAAGCAGAAGTATGTTCAGCAGAAGTACAAGAATTGCTGGGGTGATCATTTACTATCAAATCTTTTACTAAAGTAATAGAAATTCTACCGTTCAGAATTTTCAAAATTTAATGTAAGATCAAGATTTAATGTACTAAAGTTACAAAGAGCACTTATGATTTAATCCACATGTACTATTGGACAAGTGGGATAGAAGAATATGGAGTTTGATTTGAATTCAACTCTCCCAACATGCCAAAAAAGAAGCTGGTCCGCAACCATAGATAGAGTTTGTGTGTATGTAGTATGTACTAGCCACTCCCTCCGTTCCATAATTCTTGTCGTGGTTTTAGTTTAGACAAAAAATATGGAACCGAGGGAGTACATGTCAACACATGGTTTGAAACTGGTGATCAACGTACTCAGATCAATGACTATTATGTGTTCAACTTTCAACTAGCTGGAAGGAAGTTGGAGCAGAATCTACACAATAAATTTTAAGAAAGTCAGAACTTATAGGTGACTTCTTCAGTTTTGAGAAATATCAAAGAGAAAGAAACATTGATTTCCTAGTGCTACAGCTCAGAGTTAGGTTGCTATTGTCCTCTTCAGCATTGCACAATTCATGTCTTTTAAGTGATCGGATTACAACCTCAAATAAACCCATCAAAAACCATAAGCATTGGCAAGTGATCATATCATTCTATTGTATCCTAGTATTTAAGAAGCAACTCTTAAATATTACTCTCGCCATAATATAAAATGTTGGAGCAGAGACTAGCTAAGCCTGCCAAAACGTCTTATATTATGGCACAAAGAAAGTATTATTATAGTTATATAATATCTATTGCGTGGGTCACCCAGCTAGATTACCCTAATAATAACAGCAAACAACCTGAATTTGTAGGCACAAGTCCATAAAAGGAGCCATCCATGTGCAAGGTGATATGAAGCACACTTACATTATTGATGTCTGGAGTGCCCCTACGTCCCATCACGAGTTCGATGATTATGACCCCTAAACTATACACATCAGATTTGACTGACATCCTCCCACCAAGTAGGTATTCTGGAGCACAATATCCCCTGCATCAAGATAAAAAAATATTGTTGCATCATAGCATACAGAAAACATAATCTAGTGAAAGTCACAAAAACAAACGGTCAGTTTTGTTCATTGCTTACAGTGTGAAAACCTGGTTTGTAGTGTGTGAATTCCCATCCATTCTTGCTAGACCAAAGTCAGTAATTTTGGCCACCATATGATTATCCAATAGAACATTAGCCGGTTTCAAGTCCATATGAATGATATGCTTTTTCATGTGAAGATATTCCAAACCGTCACATATTCCTTTGATTATATTATAGCGTGTATCCCACTCAAGTCCTCTTAATTCATCTGAAAAATATAAAAAAGCAGAGCATGGGATCTTCTAACATTTGATTTGTGTATGTTAAATTGAATAGTGCCATATATTATATTGTCGTTTGTTAGTCGACCACTTGCGACTAGTTGAAATTGTAGTATGTACATCTAAGTGGAAAAAATATGTAAGTAAAAAAGAAGAGTTGCAATCCCATTCCACATAGTGGTACCTGTTATATATTTATCTAAGCTGCCATTGCTGATGTACTCGAAACACAGTATTCGCTCTCTAGCCTCAGCGTAAATGTATCCTCCTGGTACTCCATGTTGGATCCTTTTATGCTCTGTATTAGAACAAAAGCCAATAAACCGAACTATATTTTGATGGTTGACCTCCATCATGCTGTCAACTTCCCGACGAAATAGGTTCTCATCATTTGTCTGGACGTTCTTAATAATCCTCTTCACAGCAACTTCCGCATTTGGGAGGGCACCCTACTTAAACTTGGATCACATCAATAAGGAAATATTTGAACATGCAGTGCGGCAACTTATCAGAAAACTTGGTCTGCATACAACTTAACGTTGGTAGCATACCACCCAAACAATTTGGCTTGTCAGTAAAGCACAGAAACATATTACTGTAGTAGTTTGACAAAAATCTGCATCTATTGATGGAACATTCTTCTACTAGTAATATTTTGCTCTTTTGTCAAAACAAAGAAAGGGAGGTTTTTCTAAATTTGAGATATTTCTTGTATAAAACTCAAATAATTAGGTGGTGTAACACTAATTTTCTCTGAAAAGTGAAGTTTACCCTGTAGACTATTCCAAATCCACCCTCACCAATTTTCCTCTTTTCGGAGAAATTGCCTGTAATGTTCTTCAGAAGTGACAACGGTAGATCCCTTGGTTTCATGCTTCCGTCAAGTATATGCTCCAGTAGGTCATGTTCCATGTCCGAGTCGTCCATCCTAAGTACACAGTGCGCTTTCAAAATTAGGAGGTAAAAGTTAATTTTACTAAGTTCGACATACTTACAGAGATCCATAGCAACAACTGCGCATCTAAACAAGGAGTTGCATACCTAGAGGAGAATTGGGCTGAGCCCTGTAGGTGGTCAACGGGGCACAAACTGGGAACTGCGTATGCAGAGCTCCAATGATGTGATGAAACAAACCCTGAATCAAAGAAGATGCAGACTAAAATTTGTTATGAAAAGAAATAAACTCCTTTTGTGCAACGTAGATGGAATGGAAAGCGATGCAAATCAAACCAAAATACTGAGCAATGTAAATTGATTAGTGAATACTTGGCGTACCTCTTAGCAATGGAGTGCGCTGGTTGGGGAAGAAATGACCAAATAAAGCTAGCGTGATATATATGCAGTGGAACCTACCGTAAAGTGTTCCCTTTCTTTATAAATAGCTTTGGAAGATATGGCAGAGTCACATGGCTATGTCTTAGCCTCCCGGCATGCTCGAAACACGGAACTGCATACTTGCGGAGACTTGGGCTGAGCCCTGTTGGTGGTCAACGGAGCACAAACGGGAATTGCCTATGCAGATGTCGAATCATGTCATTAAATAAACTCTGCATTAAAAAGAAGATGCAAAATCTGTATTGTGTTGTTGAACAAAATATTTGATAAATAGAAATAAACTCCCAAAGAGCACCATAGATGGAATTGGAATTGATGCAAATCAAACTAAAATACAGAACGATGAAAATCGATGCCAGATCTATACATAATCAGTGGGGATTTTGGCAGATCTTAAACAGTAACAAAACATGGGCAGAACGAAGCAAAATAAAAACTTGCACACACCTGTTAGCAATGGAGCTTGCTGCGCTGTTTGGGGAAGGCATGACTGGATCTTGATATGGGCAATGAAACCTACCGTAATTAATTTTGTGTATAGTGGTTAGAGTGTTGCCATCGATTGGATGGCTAAACCGACGAAGAAAATGACATATCGCCATCTGTTTGGTTACTCAACTGGTGGAGAAATTTAGCGGTCACTATCGGTTATGGACCACAAGAATAAGTCCTATCACCCTGAGATAAAAAAACTGATGTGAGAACTGGGCTGTAGCCCAGTGGCAAGGGAAATGATGCTACTAACTTTGACTTGGAACAAAATTACAACACCTTATATTTCAGAACGCAGGAAGTGGAATTTTGGGGGTTGGATCTTAGTTCCTAGCCTAGCCTGGCAAGGCTTTGCATCTGGAACCAAGAAAAAAATGTAGCTTTCGGGGGCAAACTAGCCTCACGTGGCTAGGAAAAGCTAGCTGACCAAGGAGAGCCAAATTGGCTAGCTCTCGTTGGAAGAACGATGCATGGAAATAATGGCAGCGTCAACTGACAACCAAAATCGTGGAACTCTAATGCATGAGCAACAACCAAAATCGTGGGACCCTATCATGGAGCAATCTAGAATGAGCTAGGTTTACTTTGCCATGCTAGGCAAGCCGAGCCACAGAAAGAAACGCACCCTAGCCGCCTGGTGGAGCAAGGTTGTCAAAAGGCAGTGTGAGGAAGAGAAGGTCGTCCTGTTAGGGTTGGACTAATTTGGACAGATCATGTTATCTTAACAGCTGAAAGGATGATCTCGGCTGAAAACAGACGGGCTTAACAATGTGTAACACAAATAGATTTAAAAACTATATGACATCTCTATATCAAGCAAAAAAACTAGCTCTCTCTGTTGTGTTGATAAGGTACTCACCAAGCTAGTCTGGAAACAACATAGTGAGCCTTGCCTTGAGCATGTGGGTTGCTGCAGATAGAATATCTTCACCACTGGCAACCACAATCCACCGAGATCTAAGACAACCAACAATCTTCTTGCTGAAGACACGAGCAAACGGACTGGGGACTTTGCATAACAATAATCTTTCCAGAAAATACAAATAAGAGTATCTAGAAATCATATAGATCAAGTAGATTTTGAGGTTCTAATGGCTATTTTGCACAGGTGATTGAAATTGCTCTGTTTTTTTTCTTCTACTTCTCACACAAATTTCTTGCCAGAGCTGTGTTTCTTTGCACCGGTATCAATAAAACCCCAATATTCCACAATAGCACAATAGCAATTGTCATACCATAATACCATATACACAACTTACTTCAATTCAACAGCAGTCAGAAATATAATGTTGACAGTTCTTTCTTTACGAACCCAGTACAGCTGCAACCATAAATTATTCTTCAGGCAAATCAGTAGACTAGAATTCAGATGGACAGAAAACATTGTAGACAAAAACAGTCAACGGTACATAATAGAAACAGAGATTACCAATAGTTCAAGTTGAATTTTTTTTCTTACTGAAAAGGTAAAGCACCTGCCTGTTCTGCAATAAACTAACAGAAAAAAAGGATTGGTCCCGGAAGTCATGCATCATAAGTTACTTAATTACTCCAGTCGCAATCAGATAAGGCGTGCCATTTCCTTCAGCAAATTTAAGCCAGAGAAGGATGGTGCAAAAGTGATTACAACATACTAGGTCCATCCTCTGTGTACCAGTCCCTTACAGAGCCTGTTGCTGAGAAGGAAAACAGAGCTTGCGCAGAAACCGAATTTTGCGCTCAAGTTTCTTCTCCCCATGCGGTGCAAGACTGAGCCAATGGACTCCACCTACTGCTGTCGCTCTCTTGCAGATGAAGACTGGTTGACAACTCTTGGAAATATCTGCACCTGGGAGATTTAAATATGCAAAGAGAGGACTAAATCACGCTTTGAAAAAGTCATCCAACTAAAGGAAGCAAGACCAATAAATCACTGAAGAAGTAAGACAAACGTGTTGCTCCCAACTTGATGAAGTGAACAGAGAAGATGAAGACATATGGAAGCACTACAAGACCAAGTTGTATATTATGCAATTAGGCGGCACTAAGGCAACAGAGCAACACACGCTGCATGCTCGGCACGAAGCTGTGGCCTGTGGTCATCATGTCGGCACTGCCCAGCTTTGCGCTCCTCCGGCTCGCTAGCTTGATTGCCATGCTGGTGCAACAAGCTCGTTTGCTCCCAGTGGCTGTGGCGCGGACCAATCTGACTGCGGGGGATACCTTGAGGCCGCCCGACTGCATCACCAGCCCGTCCGGCGGGTTTGCCTTCGGTTTCCGTGCCCACGACTCCGATCCGACCAAGTTCCTCCTCGCCACATGGTTCCGCTTCGGTGAAGGCAACTCTTCCCTACAGTCGGTGCTGTGGTTTGCAAAAGCGTCCTCCATGGGCGCCACGCCCAACGCCAGGGCGCGGTCCGTCCTCAGCATCCCGGCCGATGGCCAGCTCACGCTCACCGATGGCAGTGTAGAGCTGTGGAAGGCCCCGACCCCCAGCATGAAGCGTGGATTCGTCCTCGTGCTAAGAGACTCCGGAAATGTCCAGTTCCTCGGAGATGGCGGCATGCTCTGGGAGAGCTTTGGATTCCCGACAGACACGCTCCTGTCGGGGCAATCTTTGCAGGGGTTTCTCTTCTCCAAGCGCGCGGACACAGAGTTCACCACTGGTCGGTTCAGCCTGGCTGCCCAAAACGACGGTAACGTCGTCCTCTGCGTCGACCTCTTCACCGGTGACATATTGGAAAACGCATACTGGGATACGCGCACCAACGGCCCCAATGGCAACACAACTATCACCTTCGACGAGCGTGGCAACCTCAGCTACACACTCTACGATGGCACCGTCCACAGCTTGATTTCTCCCGTCGCCGCCGACAGGAACTACTTCCAGTTCGTCAGGATGGACCCCGACGGCATCGTCCGTGCCTACGTCCGCCCTAAGAACGGTGACGGCCGCGAGAACACAACATCTTGGACCATGTCGGGCACGCTCCCCAGTGAAGGGGGCTGCAAGATGAAGACGACCAGGATGCAAGGCATGTGCGGCCCCGGGTCTTACTGTGTGGAGACCAAAGAACGGCTCAAGTGCCTGAGCCCGAGCGGGTACACTTATATCGACGCGCAGCACAGCGACAGCGGCTGCACGCCAGAGTTGGAGCCGCAGAGCTGTGGCGAGCAGAACAACCCCGACAAGTTCTCGCTCGTAGAGCTGCCAAACACCACTTGGGAGGTGTCAATATACTACAAGAAGTTCCCGTCAGTCTCGGAGGAGCAATGCCGGGATTACTGCCTCAGCGACTGCTTCTGCGTGGCCGCGCTGATGATCGGTGGGTCCGACTGTGCAGAGTTGGGGGCACTCGCGTATGGACAGCAGGGAAACAACCTGACGACAAAGGCGCTGATCAAGGTATGGACAAGGAATTCTCAGGTGATTACGTCAGCAAGAATGAGAAATGTACTGGCCTACAAGGTTGTGGCCATTTGCTTGGGCATTCTTTTGTTGATCACAGTCGGTGGCCACCGACTTCTGGCACATCATTACCTCGTCAGAAACAGAGATAGCCAGAGGTTGTTGAGCTCGAGCGTAAGAGCATTCAGCTGGAAGGAGCTTTACCAAGCCACCAATGGCTTCGAGAAACTGCTGGGCAAAGGGAGCTTCGGGGAGGTCTACAAAGGAACGATAAGATCACCGCAGCCGCATCTCATCGCAGTGAAGAAGCTCATCGACTCAAACGAGTATAGCGAGCAGGAGTTCACAAACGAGGTACAGTCCATCGGGCAGATCCACCACCGGAACTTGGTCCGTATGATCGGCTACTGCAAAGAAGGCAAGCACCGGATGCTGGTTTTCGAGTTCATGCCAGGCGGGTCGCTCCGTGGCATCCTCTTCAACCCAGAGAGGCGGCCTTCGTGGCGCTGGCGTGCTGTAGCCGCCCTTGCCATCGCCCGGGGGCTTGAGTACCTCCACGATGGCTGCAGCGCACCGATCATCCATTGCGACATCAAGCCCGACAACATCCTGCTGGACGACCGTGGAGTCCCGAGGATCACCGACTTTGGGATCTCCAAGCTACTGGGGAGCCAGCAGGTGCACACAACAGTGACCCACATCAGGGGCACCAGAGGGTACATTGCGCCCGAGTGGCTCCGCAGCGACGCGCGCGTGGATACCAAGGCGGATGTGTACAGCTTCGGCGTCGTGCTGCTGGAGATGATCTGCTGCCGGAGGTGTCAGGAGCCGGTGTCTCATCCTGACTTGCCACAGGGTGAGGAGGAGGATGATGAGACGGTCACGCTGTTCGGTTGGGCAGCGCAGCTGGTGGCCACGCAGAGGACAGAGCTGATGCTGCACGGCAATGCTGACGTAGACACTGTTGAGGACATGGAGAGGGTGGAGCGGTTCACGCGCGTGGCGCTCTGGTGCATCGAGCCAAACCCGCTGCTGCGGCCAACCATGCACCAGGTGGTGCAGATGCTGGAGACCAATGACCCGGCTCAGCTTCAGGCACTGCCGCACCACCCTCCAGACTGTTATATGGAATCCTCGCCTTTAATTCCTCAGCTCAAGATGGCATGTTAGTGATTCATCAGACTGCATGTAAGCCCCTCCATGTGCTAGTACAATACCTAATAAGTTGCATTATATGTTTCACGCTTAATACTAGTACAAGACAAGATGATCTCCAACAATTCCTGAGTGCAAGTGAGTAACACTCCTTCAGAATTGTTCTTAGATATCCAACCTATTCTAGTCTAGTATGAAAATCCGACCAGAATAGAGAAAAGGGGTAATCAATAAATAATTCCCAAGAAATTATATTATATGTGTAAAAATGAACCAATATCCACCCTATTGTAGTCTAGTCTGAAATCATGCGACTCAGAATGTATCTGCACGGGCTAAACACTCCGGTCTCCATGACCCCACCTCGTAACAGGAACAAACAAATATGTAATCCCTTTCAAAGGTTGATCAGTAGAGATGGCAAGTTATCAAATCTGTAAGTTGTAACAGTAGTGTAGCCTGAAGAACTTAAGAACAGCTACACCTGGACTCAAGGGCCCTAAACCAAGAACCAAGCTGGAAAAAATTACTCCCCAGCAAAGGGTGAAAATTGCTTTTCACTTCAGAAAAATGCAACATCCATAGCTTGCATCACAAATGGTACCGCCATTATGTGACATGCGAAAGATAAAAAAAAAGGTACTGCCATCATGTGACATGTGAAAGATCAAGCATTTGACGGCTATAGAATGGAGTAAAAGCCCAACTATGTGTTCATAATGAATCTTCTAAATGCCTTCGATGGACCTCAAAATTTCCACCTAATTATCAAATTAAAATGAATTTCAGTGGTTGCCCACAGGATAAAACAAAGACATCTTTCTCAACTTAGAGACTGGTTAGGCAGCTGGTAGTGTGGGTGTTTGTTGGCCCTTTATTTGTTTGCCCTTGTTTCTTTTCTTCCAAATATAGTTCTCATGTACATTTTATTTTCTGCTTGTAGCCTTGTAATCTTAATTTAAATAAATATAACAGGGGGGGTGGGGCTTTGCCCTACTGCACAACTCAAAACAAATGAACTGAATCGCATGAACATAAGGCATAAGATAAATTTATCCCCATGGAAATAGAAAACATTTTGAAAAAATCACCAATTGCGCAGACCATTACAGTTGTATCAACATCACAAGTAAACAACAATTTGTTTCTGTATTTTGAGCTGTGGACACTGAGTTCTAATACATGAATAAAAAGTGGTATATTATATTTCACAAAGTTTCCGGAACTTGTTGAGAAGCAATCATGCACAGGGAGTGACATATATTACCACTAAAAATGACTAAATATATACTAATCAGCCAGCTTAACTGGCAGGATTTTCCCCAATTTTTTTGACAGAGCAGACACGAACACTAAAACAGTAGAGTGGCATTTATCTATGATCAACAGATCCGCCAAAGAGCATAACAAATTTCTATATACATTTAACATAATCAATCATTCGAACTTGATTCTAACGATTTAAGTTCAATCGAAGGTCGCATGACAATTCACAGAGGGGTGGGGGGATCGAGGGAGCAGAGACGGGTGCTGAACCTCTCGGCCGGAGTCGCTGTCGTCGGCCAGCCTCGTAGTTCGTGCGCCATGAACTGGATCTGGAGGCGCGCTTGGACTGGCGGCTGCGCACCTTGTTGTGGAAGAGGCGGTCCACCGGCGAGATCGAGCCCCTCCGACGGCGGAATCGGGTGCGGCCTGCTCCGTTGAGGACTTGCCACGGGTTGGTGGGAAGCCCTATCCAGCTACTGATGGGATTCGGGCCGGCCGCACGGCGCAGCCCGCCGGCGGCAGACGCGCTCCCTCGCTCCGGCGCGCGTAGGTTCCAGTGACTGAGGTAGACAACGAGTTCTTCCAGGCCGAGCTGGCACTTGTTGGGCCAGTATGGGCCGGGGCAGAGGATCTATCAGGCTTTAATTGTGGGGAGTGTAAAAAAACGTGTGATGTCTAAAAAAACAATTATGGTGCAAGCAGTGCACCGAATGCCATAATACATTTCAAAATATCAGAAAAACATTGACACAACATCAATGTATTTTGTCAAAAATATTCATATCAAAATTTGATACATTTCTTGAGATAAAAAATGACAAATTTGACATTAGTGCGATATTGGGCCAAATCTAAAGCCCAACTTACGTTATGTACTATTCAGTTTTGAATTTGCCAAAAAAAAATTATTTTGAGCTATGTTTCAAATTTTATGACAGCCTGCATTTATGTTGTGTGAATTTGCTAAAATAAATTAAAAATTTTGAACAAGTTAAAATATGCACCAGTAGCACCACAAGCACTGGTGCACCAGATATTCTGCCTTTAGTTGTGCACGTAGTATCCAGGTACGACAAAAAATAGCCTAAAAAGATGGTACGGTGAAAAAACATGAGTGCACTTAATTGTGCTTTTTCAAGAGTGCGCTAATCTTAACTCAAAAGACGCCCACTTAATTTTCTAGTTTTTTACAAAAAAAACTAAAATATTATTTTCCTTTTTGCTCCAAAGAAAATTTACATATCTTGCTTGTTCCCCTAAAAAACTTAAATTGCTTGCTTTTTATTTTTCTCAAAAAAGAAACTTAAATTTCTATTATTGATCATCGTAATATAGTACTGTCTTTTGTTCTCTATTTTCTTGAAAAGGACACAGATCTGTTATGAAAAAATGTCAAAAGTACAAAACATTTAAAATATAATAAAAAAATACATCAAAGCATCTGGACCATGGAACGACCATTGCTGCCATCAGAACGAGCCAATGACGTGTCGTTGTCACCGCTTCCGTATTGAAGTCAAACTCGCCTAATTGATGACACTCGGGACTTTGTGCAGCTTCCCCTATGGATTGTCACCCCAAAACCATAGTTTTCGTTGTTGAACCCTTGAATTGATCCGAAAAACCTCACACAAAAATCTTGCCCTTGTGTGCGTATGGCGAGGAATCCTAACCTCGTCGTCCTGGAACCGAAAGGAATCCATGTCGTGGTTACGTCGACTTCAACAAGGCGGACAAACTTAAGGAGGATCGGTGCCCAGAAGACTGAATCGGAGAAGAAGCGGGGTTATCCGCCCAAGTGCTGCTCCTACGAGGACTAAAAGCCTAACATATCGACTAGTCGAAGTCGAGGCATCAGGATTCCCCTCCCCGCCATATATCGTCGAAGTGGTCGTGAAAAGGATGGCGAATCCATGGACTTGTCGGTGATGATCGAGGGGAGGGAAGCCTTGACCCTAGTAGCCTTGCGAAGGCGAAAGAAAGAGTCGTAGCACCAATGGCCCTTAGAGCATCTCCAATAGACGATCCATATGTAAAAATAACTAACTTTTGGAGCTTCTAGAGCAAAAAGTGCTGCTCCAACAGACGGTCCATATGTTAAAAAATTGGATAACCGGCTCCTGAAGATGTAAAATTGAAAACTTCATGATGCAAATTTACATCACGAGATACAAGTGACGTAAAACCGCTGCCGCCCCTGAAGCGACCAACCGCCAGTTCCTTTGCCTTCCCGCTCTCGCCCGCCCACCCGCGGCCCGCCCGATCGCCCCCTCCCCCCCCTCTCGCCTTCCGCCGCTGCCATGGCTGAAGACGGCGACCTCGTCGCCTCCGTTGTCGCAGCGAACTCACCCTCCGCCGCCACGTCCATGTCCCCGCCCCCGCCCCGGATTCGCGCCGCCCCGGCCAGTCGCCACCATGCCGGCGGTTCCTACGAAAGCGACGAGGCGGAGGCAAACGGCCGGCGAATCGCGGCCGGAACCCATCCGAAAGTGCGGCTCGGCTGACCAAAATCTCGAAGGCAGTCGCGGCAGCTCGGGCCGCCGATTTGCAACCACGGCCAGCGGCGTCCTCGAGCAGCCAAGGAGTCGTTCCTCCACCTCCACCGCCGCCACCGCCGGCCTTGGAGGAAGATGTGGCCACGCCAACAACCACCACCTCCAACATGTTCGGTGATATGTCAGAAAGGTAAAAAATATATTTTGTGCTCTCGTTTGTTGTTTCAAATTGAATGTGATGTTGAATGTTTGTACCTTCAATTGTAGTCTCGATGATGAAGCTTTTTTGCACGCAACAAATGTGGCAAATGATGATTATGTGTCGCACGAGTATGTGCCACAAGAATATGAAACCCAATATGTCGATGACAATCTTGACATGGACGATGAAGGCTTTGTTGCGAAGGGGAGAAGTGGAAATTATACCAATGCGGAGGATGTGTTGATATGCACCACATGGAAGAAAGCCTCTCAAGATGCATCTGTTGGAAGCGACCAAACGGTAAACACCTATTGGCAACGCATCAAGGATTACTTCAATGAGCGCAACACAAGTGGTCGCTTTCGTTCGAGCGACTCTCTTCGCCAACATTGGTCGACCATCAACGTCGAATGCCAAAAGTGGGTCGGTTGCTTGTCAAATGTTACTCGCATGAAACCAAGTGGTTTGGGGTGATAGTGACTTGGTAAAAATTTCCTCTTCGTGTATGCCTTTTCAAATATTGGATTGTTCCACATTTTGATGATGACGTGTTGGTTGTTTTATTATAGAAAATGATTGCCCAAGGATTGTTTCAAGAGAGGAACATGAAAGGCGAGAAGAAGAAAAAGAAAGGAAAATCTTTCATTTTTCATCATTGCTACAAAGAGCTCAAGGATGAGGAGAAGTGGAAAACTAGAGAGACTTTTGATGCTTCAAAGAAGAAAAATGTGGTGACTGAGGATGAAGAAGATGATGCCAGTGAGGATAGGAGCCCCACTCCTCACTCCGTGACAAAATCTTATAGGCCTGATGGAAAGAAGAAAGTGAAGGGAACAAAGGCCGAAGACAATGATCTCAAGGAAGGATTTGATGCCATTGTCACGGCGAGGAAAGAGTATGCCGAAGAAAAAAGAATGTTGAAGCTCAAGGAAATAGAGGAGAGGAGTGAGGCCGAGTGGCGGAGGGTGGTGGCCGAAGAGAAGAGGGCGGCGGCCGAGGAGAGGAAGGTGGAACTAGAGGAGAAAATGTTGGAAATATGCCCTAGAGGCAAT